CGATGTGACTTTGTCCCTCCACAGAAACCTTATGAAGAAGTTTTGCTGTGTTTCATTCTCAGAAAATACTGGTGAAAACCTAAGATGTGCCAAGCATTATACTAGGGGCTGGAGATGGAGAAGCATGTTGCCCTTTTTTTAATTTTAAAATTTTGCTAGGAAACATACAACATAAAATTTACCATCTTTTTTTTTAAAGTTGAGGTATAATTGACAGATAATATCATTTTAGTTTCAGGTGTAGAACATAATGATTCAATATTTGCATATATTGAGAAATAATCACCACAATAAGTCTAGTTAACATCTGTCACCATACATAGTTACAAAAAATTTTTTTCTTGTGATGAGGATTTTCAAGATCTTCTCTCTTAGCAACTTTCAAATATACAATACAGTATTGTTAACTATAGCCAGCCCTGGGGGTCTAGTGGTTGAGATTCAGCGCTCTCACTGCCGTGCCCTGGGTTCATTCCCTGGTCAAGGAACCACACCTCCCGTCTGTCGGTTGTCATACTGTGGCTGCCGCATGTTGCTGTGAAGCTGAAAGCTATGCCACTGGTGTTACAAATACCAGCAGGGTCACTCATGGTGGACAGGTTTCAGCAGAGCTTCCAGACTAAGAGAGACTAGGAAGAAGGAACTGACCACCCACTTCTGAAAAAGTTGGCCATGAAAACTCTGTGAATAGAAGCGAAGCATTGTCTGATGTAGCACCGGAAGATGAGAGGATAGTGCAGAAAGATCAGGCGGGGCTCTGCTCTGCTGTGCACAGGATCACTAGGAGTCAGAATTGACTCACGGCACTAACAACAAATTATTAACTGGAGTCACCATACTGTACATAACATCTCCACGACTTAATTATTTTATAACTAGGAGTTTGTACATTTTGGCCCCCTTCACCCCCCACCCCTCGGCATTCACCAATCTGTTCTCTGTATCTATGAGCTTGTTTTTTTTTTTTTTGCTTTAATTCCATGTATAAGTGAGATTGTACGGTACTTGCCTTTCTCTGTTTAACTTATTTCACTTAGCATAATGCTCTCAGGGTCCATCTATGTTGTCAAAAATGGCAAGATTTCATTCTTATTTATGGCTGAATAGTATACCATTGTATACGTATCACATCTTCTTTATCCACTCATCCATTGATGGACACAGGTTTTTTACATATCTTGGCTATTATAAGAAATGCTGCAATGAACATGAGGGTGCATGTATCATTTCAAATTAATGTTTTTGTTTTCTTTGGATAAATACCCAGAAGTGGAATTGCTGGATCATATGATAGTTCTATTTTTAATTCTTTTTGAGTAAGCTCCATACTGTTTTCCATAGTGGCTGCACCAATTTATGTTCCCACTAACAGTGCACTAGGGTCCCCTTTTCTCCACATCCTTGCCAAGTTATTTCTTGTGTTTTTGATAATAGTCATTCTAATAGGTGTTTGGTGATATCTCATTGTGGTTTTGATTTGCATTTTCCTGATAGTGATGTTGAGCATCTTTTCATGTACCTGTTGGCCATCTCTATATCGTCTTTGGAAAAACGTCTATTCAGATCCTCTGCCCATTCTTTAATCGGATTGTTTGTTTTTTTGCTATTGAGTTGTATGAGTTGTTTATATATTTTCGATATTAACGTCTTATCAGATAGATGATTTGCAAATATTTCAGTCCATTCATTAGGTTGTCTTTTCATTTTGTTGATAATTTCTTTTGCTGTGCAGAAGCTTTTTAAATTGATGTGATCCCTCTGGTTTATTTTTGCTTTTGTTGCCTTTGCTTTTGGAGTCAGACCCAAAAACTCATCGCCAAGACCAGTGTCAGGGAACTTATTATTTATGTTTCCTTCTAGGAGTTTTATGGTTTCAGGTCTTAAATTTACCATCTTAACTGTTATTAAGTGTACAGTTCAGTAATGTGAAGCGTATTTGCATTGTCGTGCAGCAGATCTCCAGAAACTTTTTGTCCTACAAAACTGAAACTCTGCATCTATTAAACAACAACTCTTTGCCTCCTTGGTTAAGTTATTCCTAAGTTTTCTATTCTTTTTGATGCTCTTGTAAATGGAATTGTTTTCTTAATTTTCTTTTCAGATGTTTTTCTTTTCATATTTTTGTGTGTTGAAGCAGCAGCATTTTCATACACGAGCATTTTTATTAATGCCCAAGGGCTAAGATTTCCAGGGAGTTGGACAGGAAGCCCCAGAGTAGTATTAGGCAGCAAGATCACCAGCAACCGCTATGCAGTTGTAGGACTATCGCTAGATGGCAGCCAGAGGCACTAGGGGGCAGCACCTGCCCACCAAAGCTCCTTATCCCCAGGACTCTCAACGACGGGAACTATAAAAGCTCATCTGCTCCAGCAGTTCTCAGTCCTGGCCTTACATCAGGATCACTGGGAAGCTTGTTAAAAACGGCAGGTTACATAATTTGTGGGGCCCACAGTAAAATGAAAATGTGGACCCTTTGTTCAAAAAGTAGGGAAAAAAATGCCTTTAAAGGTACTAAAATATAAAGCTTTTCCCTTTTTACTATAGTCTCTCTCTTGACTTATCCTGGTATATTTTTACTTGCCTAATGTTATTCTAAGTAAACGAAAATTAGGGGGCCGGCCAGGTGGCGCAGCGGTTAAGTTCGCATGTTCTGCTTCTTGGAGACCTGGGGTTCCCCAGTTGGGATCCCGGGTGCGGACATGGCACTACTTGGCAAAAGCCATGCTGTGGTAGGCATCCCACGTATAAAGTAGAGGAAGATGGGCATGGATGTTAGCTCAGGGCCAGTCTTCCTCAGCAAAAAGAGGAGGATTGGCAGTAGTTAGCTCAGGGGTCATCTTCCTCAAAAAAAAAAAAAAAAAAATTAAAACTTTGAGTACTCAGCCTGAATTTTACCATTCATCTTTATATTGTGCAATGCTAGTTTTAAATGCAAATAAGAGCATTTAACCTTTATGCAGAGTCACCAATATTACCCAATTCATATTTTGTAGCTAACTCATGCATATGTACTTCATTTTTACTGGAACAGTGGAAACACTGAACAAAATTAACTCAATTATTTTTATTTTATGTCTTGCTACGTGCACATCCAGCGGATGACTCTATGGAAGTCAGTGGCTTTCATGTTATGCTTACCTTGGATTCACTTTGAATCTTGAACAATCGCCACACATCATGGGTCCACCAGAATTCTGTGTTCACGGGAACATCGCAAGTGCTCTGTGTGAATGGGGCAGCAAGGGATGGCAGACATACATGAGCACGTGTTTCCTCTGCTCATGCACACTCCAGGATCCCATCAGACATCGCTTACAAAATACAAGTTCAAAGATAAAATTACACCCCCCCCACACACAAATGTTTATTCCATTTCAGAGGTTATGGGCAGCTGGAAATCAATTCAGGGACACCCCAGGGAGCCCAGGCAACCTGGTTAAGAGACGCGTGTGGATCCTGCCGAAACCACAGACCTCAGGTCAGAGACAGGAGTCCTCAGCAAGGTCAGAGTCCTTCATAATCTGCGAAGTTACAGCAAAGACCTCCTTATGCTGCTCTCAGGTGTACCCAAATAGTTAAGAGTAGTTTCAAAAGAAATATGACAAAGCAAAGCTAAGGAGCACCCTCACTGCAGGCGTCTTCCAGCCTCTCTGACTGCCCGCTCACCTGGCTCATTGCCTTCACTTGGAAGAGGGTGTAGTGGGCAACACAAGTAGAAAAGAGGAAGAAATTGAAAGCATAAAAAATTGGTAAGATGAAAGTAAAACTGTCACTATTGGAAGGTGATATGATTTTATACCTGAAAATCCCAAGATAATCAACTCAAAAATTACTACTAGTACTACTATGAGTGAGAGAGAGAGAGAGAGAAAAGTAATGTAGCAGAATACAAAATTAATATGTGGAAATCAAAAGCCTTTGTATATACCAATGACAATCAGAAGATATACTGGAGAAGAAAATCCCCTTTACAATAGCAGCACAAAGGAATAAATACCTAGAAATAACATGCAAAACCTTTTTGGGAAAGACGTTAAAACATTTTCAGACATAAATGCAGTTTTGAACAAATGGAAAGATATACCATATTCTTAGGGATAGGAACACTAAAAAAATTCTTCCTAAGTTAATTTATAAATTAATGTGATTCCCAAAAAAATACCAATAGATTTCTTGGTGGGGGGCAATTAGACAAGTTGATTCTAAATTTCTGGTGGAAAGTAAGCAAAAATAGTCAGTAAAACTCTCAAAAGGAAGAACAATGATGGTACTGAGATTACTGCTATCAAATAAATTACTAAAACAGTATGGTGGGGCTGGCCCCGTGGCCGAGTGGTTAAGTTCGCGCGCTCCACTGCACACGGCCCAGTGTTTCATTGGTTCGAATCCTGGGCACGGACATGGCACTGCTCATCAAACCATGCTGAGGCAGCGTCCCACATGCCACAACTAGAAGGACCCACAACAAAGAATATACAACTATGTACCAGGGGGCTTTGGGGAGAAAAAGGAAAAAAATAAAATCTTAAAAAAAACAAAAAACAAACAGTATGGTACTTGTACACGAATAGACTGACAGATAAATGGAACAAAAATGTCCAGAAATAGAGCAAATACGTATTAGTATATGATAGAGGTGGCATTTCAAATCAGTAGAATAAACATGTATCTTTTAAATCAATGGTTTTAAGACAACTGAGTAGCCTTCTCAAAAAGGATAGGTGAATTCATACTTTGTATCATACACTTGAATAAACTTCAAATCAATAGAAGGTTATTTAAAAAATCATACATAACAAGTTCACACATAAAAGTACTAGAAGAGGGGCCAGCCCGGTGGTGCAGCAGTTAAGTTCGCACGTTCTGCTTCTCAGTGGCCTGGGGTTCGCCGGTTCGGATCCTGGGTGCCGACATGGCACCGCTTGGCAAAAAGCCATGCTGTGGTAGGCGTCCCATGTATAGAGTGGAGGAAGATGGGCATGGATGTTAGCTCAGGGCCAGTCTTCCTCAGCAAAAAGAGGAGGATTGGCAGTAGTTAGCTCAGGGCTAATCTTCCTCCAAAAAAAAGGACTAGAAGAAAACGTGGAATAAGTCTTTGAGAAACTTGGAGAGAGGAAAGCCTGTCTAATTAACGCTATGAAACCATAAAATAAAGGATTATATTCATTCTACTACATAAAATAACTTCTGAGTGGCATAACACACCATAAACAAAGCCAAAAGACAAATTACAACCTGAAAAAAATTGCAAATCTTATAACAAACAAAGGCTAATCTCACCTATATATAAAGAGTACCTAATAACCCACTAGAAATATTAGCAAATGACATAAACAGGCCATAGAAAAAGAAATATCGATGACTTTTAAAAACATAAAAAGACGTTCAAACTTACTCATAGTAAGATAAATGCAAATTAAAATCACATCACAGCCAACTGACAAATCCAAAGGTTTGACAGCACACTCTTTTGGCAAGGCGAGGAGTGAGTGACAATCTCATACTTTGCCGGTGGGAGTGCAAAGTGGTACAATCCCTATGGAGAACAATTTTAGAAATATTTACTATAAATTACAAATACCTTTTTCCTTTGACACAACAGTCACAACTCTGAGAATTATTGTTACATTTAATTCCATCTTGGCAACAGCTTTTCAGAGGACCCAGGCTAACACATACCCTTTGTGTGAGTAAGGTGGAAAATGTAAAAATATATATCCGTATTTGCTTGTATTTACATACAATACACTAGAAGAATATAGAAGAAAAGATGCTAAGGGAAGCAATAAAAATGAGGTGGTGATAATGGGTTTGGTGGAGAAAGGGGAGAGAGCAAGACTTTTGGAACAATGTGAATGCATTATCTACGCCAAAAAAAAATTTAAAAAGGCTCCTCTGGTAACTCTTAGAGAAAAAATACTTGCCAACACTTGTTATCTGACTTTCTGATTTGAGCCATTCTAGTGGGTGTGAAGTGGTATCTCACAGTGGTTTTGATTTGCCTTTCTCTAATGATGTCAAGCATCGTTTCATGTACTTATTGGCTATTTGTCTATCTTTGAAGAAATATATATTCAGATCCTTTGCCCATTTTAGAACTTGGTTAACTTTGTTGTTAAGCTGTAAGAATTCTTTATATATTCTAGATATAAGCCCATTATCAGATATATGATTTGCAAATATTTTTCTCCCATTGAAGCTGAGTACCTGAGGGTTACTGTAAACATTCAATAAGACTTTTTGACCTTGTCCCCAACACAGACATAGATGAAAAGAAGTTAATCTTGTCAATTTGCTATTTTCTTGTTGACCTGAGGGGTGACTCAAGGGTCACAAGGATTTATGAGCTTGTTTTACAGAAGAAAAAGGATGCCTTCAGGGAAGTTACTTGATCACCAGATAACCAGCCTCCAGCTATCTTGATGCCCAGAAGTCAGATTGCCCAGGGGCTTATCTGGAGTGAAAGAAACATGGATTACCCCTTTGTTTCTCTGAAACTCCTCCTGCCAAGGCCCTTAGCTCTATAAAACTCCCTGCTTTTTTCTCTTGTTAAGGTGGATTTGAGATCACCTATCCTCCCACCTTCTCATTTTGGCTAATTCAAGTAAACTTTTCTCCATCTCAAGGCACTGATGTCTCAGTGATCAGCTTACTGTGCATCAGGCACACAAACTTGAGGTTAAGAGGTGAACTTGTGATTGAGAGGTTCAGTATCACCATTCCATGGGTTGCATTTTCACAATCTTGATGTCCTTGATGCACAAAAGTTCTAATTTTGGTGAAGTCCATTTATCTGTTTTTTGTGTGTGTGTGAGGAAGATTGGCCTTGAGCTAACATCTGTTGCCAATCTTCCTCTTTTTGCTTGAGGAAGATTGTCGCTGAGCTAATGTCTGTGTCAATCTTCCTCTATTTTGGATGTGGGATGCCACCACAGCATGGCATGATGAGTGGTATGTAGGTCTGTGCCTGGGATCTGAACCTGTGAACCCTGGGCCACCAAAGCGGAGCACATAAATTTAACCACTATGCTACTGGGCCAGCCCCTATCTGATTTTTCTTTCCTTGCCTGCACCTTTGGTGTTGTGTCCAAGAAATCACTGCCAAGTCCAATGTCATGAAGATTTCCCCCTATGTTTTCTTATAAGAGTTTTATAGTGTTAGCTTTTACATTTAGGTTTTTCATCCTTTTTGAGTTAATTTTTGTATATAGTGTAAGGTTAGGGTTCACCTTCACTCTTTTGCATGTGGATATCCAGTTGTCCCAGCACCATTTGTTGAAGAGATTCTTCTTTTCCCATTGAATGGTCTTGGCGCTCTTGTCAAAAATCGGTTGGCCGTAGATGTATGGGGTTTATTCCTGGACTTTCAATTCTTTTTCATTGATGTATATGTCTATCCTCATGCCAGTAACATGCTGACAATTACTATTGCTTTGTAGTAAGTTTTGAAATTGTGAAATATAAGTCCTCCTACTTTATTCTTCTTTTTCATGATTGTTTTGGCTATTCAAGGTCTCTTGAAATTTCATATGAATTTTAGAATCATCTTGTCAATTTCTACAAAAAGTCAGCTAAGATTCTGGTAGGTGTTGTGTTGAATCTGTAGATCAGTCTAGGGACTATTGCCATCTTAATAACGTTGTCTTCTGATCTATGAACATGGCATTTAAAAAAATCTTTACTTAGATCTTCTTTAGGGGGCTGGCCCTGTGGCTGAGCGGTTAGGTTCGCGCAGTCCACGTCGGTGGCCCAGGTGGCTGGTTTGGATCCTGGATGTGGACATGGCACTGCTCATCAAGCCATGCTGAGGCTGTGTCCCACATAGCATAACCAGAAGGACCTACAACTAGAATATACAACTATGTGCTGGGGGGCTTTGGGGAGAAAGAAAAAAAAAAAGAAGATTGCCAACAGATGTTACCTCAGGTGCCAATCTTTAAAAATAAAAAAGATCTTTACTTCTTTTCAATGATTTTTCATAGTTTTCAGAGAACAAGTTTTGTGCCTCTTTTGTTAATTCTTTTTTAAATTGAGGTAACATTGGTTTATAATAGTATATAAACTTCAGGTGTACGTCATTATATTTCAATTCTTATGTAGACTACATCATGTTCACCACCCAAAGACTAATTACCATCCATCATCGTACACGTGTGCCCTCTCACCCCTTTCACCCTCCTCCCTCCCGCTTCGCCCTCTGGTAACTGCCAACATAATCTCTGTATCTATGTTGTTGTTTTTATCTTCTACTTACGAGTGAAATCATACGGTATTTGACTTTCTCCATCCGACTTATTTCACTTGGCATAATGCCCTCAAAGTCCATCCATGTTGTTGAAAATGGCAAGATTAGATCTTTTTTTTTTTTTTATAGCTGAGTAGTATTCCATTTTCTTTATCCATTCATTTACTGATGGGGACTTAGGTTGTTTACAAGTCTTGGCTATTGTGAATAATGCTGCAATGAACATAGGGGTGCACATCTTCTTACTCATTCGTGTTTTTATGTTCTTTGGATAAATACCCAGAATTGGAATGACTAGCTGGGTCATATGGCAATTCTATTCTTATTTTTTGAGGAATCTCCATGCTGTTTTCCATAGTGGCTGCATCTGTTTGCACTCCCACCACCAGTATATAAGAGTTCCCTTTTCTCCACATCCTCTGTAACATTTATTATTCCCTATCTTGTTAATTATAGCCATTCTGACAGGTGTAAGGTGATATCTCATTGTAGTTTTGATTTGCATTTTCCTAATAACTAGTGATGTTGAACATCTTTTCATGCGTGTGTCAGCCAGCTGTATATCTTCTTTGGAAAAGTGTCTGCTCAGATCTATTGCCCATTTTTGAATTGGGTTGTTAGTTTTATTGTTGTTGAGATGTATGAATTCTTTATATATTTTGGATATTAACCCCTTATCAGATGTGTGGTTTGTAAATATCTTCTCCCAATTGTTAGGTTGTCTTTTTGTTTTGTTGATGGTTTCCTTTTGTTTTTGTTGATGGTGCAGGTTTTTAGTTTGTAGTCTCATTTGTTTTTTCTTTTGTTTCCCTTGCCTAGCGAGACATGGTTTTTGAAAAGATGCTGCTAAGACTGATGTCAAAGAGCATACTGCCTATGTTTCCTTCTAGAAGTTTTATGGTTTCACATCTTACATTTAAGTCTTTAACCCATTTTGAGTTAATCTGTGTATGGTGTGAGATAATGGTCTACTTTCATTCTTTTCCACGTGGCTGTCCAGTTTTCCCAGCACCATTTATTGAAGAGACTTTCTTTTCTCCATTGTATGTTCTTGGTTCCCTTGTCAAAAATTCGCTGTCTACAGATGTGTAGGTTCATTTTTGGGGTCTCGATTCTGTTCCATTAATCTGTGTGTCTGTTTTTGTGCCAATACCACGCTGTTTTGATTACTATAGCTTTGTAGTATATTTTGAAATCAGGGAGTGTGACACCTCCAGCTTTATTCTTTTTTCTCCAGATTTCTCTATTTGGGGTCTTTTGTTGTTCCATATAAATTTTAGAATTCTTTGTTCTATTTTTGTGAAAAATGTCATTGGGACTTTGATAGGGATTGCACTGAATCTGTAGATTGCTTTAGGGATTATGGACATTTTAACTATGTTAAGTCTTCCAATCCATGAGCATGGAATATCTTTCCATTTCTTTGTGTCTTCTTCGATTTCTTTCAACAATGTTTTACAGTTTTCAGTGTACAAGTCTTTCACCTCTTTTGTTAAATTTATTCCTAAGTATTTTATTCTTTTCGATGCTATTAAAAATGGAATTTTTTTAAAATTTCATTTTTGGATTATTCATTGCAAGTGTATAAAAATACAACAGATATTTGTGTATTGATCTTGTAGTCTGCAACCTCGCTGAACTCATTTATTAGTGCTAATAGTTTTTTGGTGGATTCCTCAGAATTTTCTACGTATAAGATCATATCTTCTGTGAATGGAGATAGTTGTACCTCTCCCTTTCCATGACGGATGCCTTTTTTTTCCTTGTCTAATAGACCTGGCTTGAATCTCCAGTACAATGTTGAATAGAACTGGTAAGAAAAAACATTCTTGTCTTATTCCTGATCTTAGGGGGAAAGTATTCAGTCTTTTACCATTGTGTGACATTAGTGGTGGGTTTTTCATAGATGCCCTTTATCAGGTTGGAGAAATTCCCTTCTATTCCTAGTCTGTTGAGTGTGTTCATCACGTGGGGTTGTTCTCTGGTCATTCTTAAGCCATGCTGGAGGTGGGTTGGATAGTCCTGTGCCCTGGGGATCACTCTTCCTAATCAGTCAATGGCCCCTCAACTATTCTTCCTGCTGGTGGCAGTGTGAGTAGGTAGGGGTACAGTCAACACTGAAAGAGATCATTCTAGGAATGCAGTGATTTTGGCCTAAAGAATTCAAGAAAAGACATGGTTGGAAGGTACACTGTTTTAAATTTACATAATAAAATTCCAAAGGGTAAACTTAACAATCTAGAAAACAAATTACCATTCACCTTTGACTAACACATTTCACATTTGGGTAAGACTTGCATTTGTGCTCATCATTTATGAAACACTATAACAACCAATGAGAGAGTCTGTAGAAGCCAGTATTCACAGGTGGCAAGATGGATGATGTGGTGTCATGAGTAATGATACAACCAGCCTTAAATAAATGGCATTAGGAAACTAGAGAGCAAAAAGACCTATATCGCTTCAAGACAAACAGGTTCTGAAGAGTCATGGCCTTGTGAGTAATAACACCATCATTACCTTTTTCTCATGTGTGACATGTGAAATTAGCCAGGAATGGTGCATCTGAAACAAAGACAGAAAGAGACTGTACTTAGACTTGAAGAGGAAGAGAGAGTACTTACACAATACTGGGAATCTTTATGTACATTGCTATGATATTAAACAAATATGTAATTCTACCCATTGTCCCACATCTTCATTAATAAACCATATACCTCACATGGGCCATGAATTTTATAATACATATTTAAAAAAAATTGTTTACAGGGTCCTTGCAAAAAATATTTACCTGGGATCCTGCATATCCTCAAGGTGGTCCTGGAAGCAGTATGGTAAAACCAATGGTTAGGAGTATAGGCTCTCTAGTCGGAATAACTAGATTCCATGTATTAGCTACGTGATCTCAGGCAGCTTGTTTTATCAATCACTGTGCCTCAGTATACATCTGTATAATCTAAGTAGTGGAAATGTGCTTGATGGTGATGTTGTGAAGTTTAAATTACTTAATAGATGTACAGTGTTTAGTATCCGGCGTTTTGCATTTAAAGATAGCACTGTACATGTTATATTCCCTATTGGTAAATTTCATGACGGTAAGGACACAATGAGTTCCTCTTTGTATCCCCCACACCCTGAAGTGAATTGTATTTGTGACATAAAAACTGAGTTCATTTGGAAACACGAGGTATATTATAAAGATTTAAAATAACTTAAGACGATCCTCAGCATATCATTGGCATCTCTTCAGTTGCTTTATAATTAGCTGTTAGGGACTTCCTGACTTTTGACATTCTTTTTGTCATCCTCACTTTCTTCAAAGCACCTAGTTTGGTGTGCACGTTACAGCTCAGAAATGCTAACCGGAGCGTCTGAGAGAGAGGCTGCTGCGGCAGAGCGGGTTACCTCAGGGTACAGCTTTGCGACTGGAGATGCAGACCAACATTCTCAGAAAACAGCGCACGGGAAGAGATGGGCGGCCCAAGCGCTTTGCGAAGGCTCCTCGATACTGCGCAGAGGGCACTGCCAACGGGCGCGCCCTGCTGCCAGGGCCGTGGGCCGGGACCCCCGAGGGGCAGCTGGCCTCCAGGCACCGACTGCCGCGGGCGCCGGGGCTCGCGTAATCCCGGCGCCACAGAACCGGGCGCTGGCTGGGGGCGCCCACCCGCAGCCGGACCCACAGGTGGGCAGAGCTGCCGACCTCCCACGGTCCTTCGGCGCCTCGCTGCCGCGTGACGTTGCTAGCAGAGCAGCGAGCGCCGCGCCTCAACGCGCAGGGCTGGGGGCGGGGCGCGCGCCCGCCGGCCCGGGGAGATCGTCCCGCGCCTGCGCACGCGCCGCTGCCGGGGGCGGGGGCTCGGAGCGCGCCGCGGTCTCCTCAGCCCGCGGTTGAGGCCGCGACGTCCCCTCTCGGCGCTGTCCCTCAGCGCGCCGGCTCTTGAGCGGCCATGGCGGCCCGCGGTGTGGAGTCCGCCGGCCCTGGACCCGCGTCTCGCACCCTGGCCGTCCCAGTAAGCGGGGTGGGGGCGGCGGGGAGCCGGCAGACACCCTGAGGGGCGGGTCTGCGGGCCGCGGTCAGCCCTCGGGGACTCTGAGGTGTTGTGTGGGAGCCTCCCTCGAGGTGTGAATGGAGCCGCCCAGCGCTCTCGCTGCAGTTGCTGTCACCGGGAGGCCTAGAGTGGAGGGCACCGTCCCCAGAGACGCCGTCTGTGTGACTACGGGGGGCAGGGGTGGTCTCTGGAGCTGCCTCAGTGGATCATTTGGGAACACGGGGGAGCCTCAGGAGCCTGCGCGGTGGGGGTGGACCCCACAGAGCCCCTCTGTATAAAGGAGGACCTTAGACCGTGCCCTAGAACTGCCTGGAAGGAACCTCTGCCTGGGGGAAGAGGATCCTGCCGTGGGGTCCGGGTCGGGAGTAACTTCCCATATGCCCGAAGGACTTTGGCCGTGACCTTCTTTAGGGCTCAGTGTGCCGTAACTTGTGTCCCTGGAACCTGGTTGAGAGGCGGGGGCCCTGTGGGGCCGCCGCTTTGTCCATCACCCTGCCCACCTCCTTAGAATTTCTTTTCTCCTTGGTAGCCTAGTGGGCCCTAAGCTGGATTTTAGTGGACCTTCTGTAAGAGCATAGGGCGCAGGGGAGGGGAGGACCAGTGAGGCCTCTGAAGCAAAGGTAGACTTGAGGCCCTGGGCTTGACCATCCAGGAGGAAGCAGCAAGGGAAGGTGGATTCATTGATTCTGGAAGGTCCTGGAAGAGAAAGTCCTTTGAAGAAAGAAAGAAGAAAGGATTTGTAGGTTTATTGAGCACCAGTATGCTAAGCACCATACCAGCTGTGTTTAAAAATAGAACTTTTACAACAGCCTTGTGAAATTGTCCCCTGAGGGATAATTAAACCGAGCCTCAGAGAGACTAAGCAGTTTGGAGAAGGTTACAAAGGTTGGGATCATGAAATCTGTTTTTCAGATTTTATTTGGGAAGAGATATCAAAGAGAGGCAGAAGGATGAATGTATGTTTAAGACCTAAAACTGTAAAACTCTTAGAAGAAAATGAGAAAATCTTCATGACTTTGGATTTGGTAATGGTTTCTTAAGTATGACACCAAAAGCACAGAACACAACAAGGAAAATTGGTAAGTTGGACTTCATCAAAATTTAAAACTTTTCTGCATCAAAAGACACTGTCAAGAAAGTTGAAAAGAGCCCACAGAATGGGAGAAAATATTTGTAAATCGTGTATCTGATAAGGGATTAATATACAGTGTATATAAAGACCCCTACAACTCAACAACAAGAAAACAACTAATTCAAAAATGGGGAAAGGATGTGAATAAACGTCTCTTCAAAGAAGATATACAAATTGCCAACAGCACCTGAAAAGATGCTCAACATCATTAGTCATTAGGGAAATGCAAATCAAAACCACAATAAGGTATTACTTCACACCCACAGATGGTCATTCTCAAAAAGATGGAAAATAACACATTTGGGAGGATGTGGAGAAATTGGAACCCTGGTTCATTGCTGGTGGAAATGTCAAATGGTGCAGCTGCTGTGGCAAATGTTTCATGATTCCCCAAAAAGTTAAAAAGAATTTCCATATGACCTAGCAATTCTACTCCAAAAGCAATTTTATATCCCAAAGAAATGTGATGTGGTATGGAAACTGGCTAAATTCTAAAATTTAGTAGCTCTTTCCTGTGGTCAGAGATGGTCTGTATCTGTTGTCTTGGTTACCTATCGTCATCCCTGCTAACCTTGAGTCACCATTCAGGCTCCACCTCTGAGGAAGCACAGTGGATCTGATGAACTCATGATTATATACTTCCTAGAAGCAAGTTCTGAAGAATAACTCTTCTCAGCCTCCTCTGGCCCACTTTGAACTAGAGAGAGGATGCTGACACTGTGATCTCAAACAAACTTTTTGCTTTCCCCAATCATCTTTGCGGCATTTCTTCAAGAAAGATTTATTGAACACTTGCTCTGTATAAAGTAGTGGGAACTACCTTGATTATTCCTCCTTCCTGAACTCAGAAAATCTAGAGCTCTTTTTTCTACCTGTGAAACCCACTGATTTGGGTTGTTTCCCCTGCTTCCCTTTCAGGGGTTTCTTTTGCTTTATTACTGCCCGGAGGACACACCCTCCCCATGTTCTACAAGTTACATTACAAGTTAGTACATTTTTGAGCCTTTTACAAATTCCTACCACTACCATATCAAGAATCAAATGAAAGCACATAGTGGTAATTTGCATTTAACATGCAGAATGAGGTGGTTCCAGCCTCTTAGGAGGGCTTCAGATTCTCCACAGCTATGTATCTTTATAGAGTGAGCTGAGGGAGAGGAGTGCCTTCTTCCCTATTGCTTCCCTAGCTCATACTGTGGAACAGCCTCCTCTTCCTTCTACCTTGTAAGTAATCCCACTGTACTTTTAAGTAGGGGCTCTGCAGAGAATGGATGTGTCTTGCACACACACCAATTCCATGCTGCTCACATATGCCTTACTGCCTGACAGACACTTCTCTTACCCTCATGACTACAGCAGTGTATTAGTTTCTTATTATTGTGTAACAAATTACCACAAATGTGGTGGTTTAAAACACACAATTTATTATCTGACAGTCTCTGTGGGTCGAGTGTCTTGCTTCGTTCTCTGCTTATGGTCTCACAAAGCTGCAATCAAGGCTTGACTGGGGAAGGATCTGCCAAGCTCCTTCAGGTTGTTGGCAGCATTCATTTCTTTCCACTTGTGCCACTGAGGGCCCTGGCTTCTTGCTGCGTGTTGGCTGGAGGCCACCCTCAGCATCTAAAGACCACTCAGAGCTCCTAGCGGCCACCTGCAGTTCTTTGCTACATAGGCTTTCCCAACACGGTCACTTCATCAAGCCAGAAAGGAGAGTCTCTAGAGTAAGTATGCCAGGAGACAGTCTTATAAAATGTAATGTAATCACAGGAGTGACATCCCATCACCTTTGCCATGTTCTGTTGATTAGAATCAAATCACAGTCCACCCACACTCAACAGGATGGGATTACACAAAGCATGAACAACAGGAGGTGAGAATCATGGACTTAGAGACTGTCTCCACAAAGAGTACCAAGGAAAGGTTTAGGTTGTCATCTGTTCTCATTTCTTCCATTTCATTTGGCCAAAAGGGCCTGTTCTACTTTCTTGTCCCACTGTTATTTACCACCACGTATTCCTGCCCCCTGAAGTGTCCTCCAAGTCCGTCTCAAGTTACCACAAATTCTTCAGCATTCATATTGTCCCTATGATGATATCTTTTATCTCTCTTTTCATCCTTGGTAAGGAAACAGAAAACCCCACTTCCACCTACTAGCTAAAGAAGTAATCATTAAGCATAATTCATGGGGTCTTTGTTAATTGATTTCCTTTTTAATCTGAGTATCTCTCCTAGGACTTCTTCCAGCAGAGGGAAAGCCAGTCTTTTTTCACCAGCCATTTGTTTTTACCCATTGTTAGTCACTGTTGGGAAATGAACCCACCACGGGCCCTTAGCATTCCTGAATGTTCTAACTGGGTATGCCAAGAATGCAAGGTCCTGAGTGTTTCCAGGCTATTTCTCAGGATTGTATCTGTAACAAGTAACTTTGACAGATAAGGTAACATCTTCCCCTGGACAAAGATCAGGCTTTTTTCTTCTTACTAGGAAAGCAGTGAATCCCCAAACCTCAGTATTCTTCTCCTGTAACACAGCCTATTACGTGTGCGGGCATGTATCATAGATCCTGTGCCACCCCATGGCACTTGGTAGACATGGGGAACTGATACAAAAAACTGTGCTAAAGTCTTGCTATGGCTGTGCTGTGAGTAATAAAATCCTTTATATCTGACCTAGGAGTATTGTATCCTCTGTCAGCATTCATGAAACAGTAAAAGGATAGCTTGTAAACTTACAAAACGAGTAAAATCCCACAGTTCTTTTTTTTTATTGAATTAAAGATAGGTTACAATCTTGTGAAATTTCAGTTGTACATTAATGTTTGTCATTCATGTTGTAGGTGCACCACTTCACCCTTTGTGCCCACCCCCCACCCCACCTTTCCCCTGGTATCCACTAAACTGTTCTCTTAGTCCACATTTTTAAATTCCTCATATGAATGGAGTCATACACAGATTATCCTTCTCTAGCTGGCTTATTTCACTTAACATAATTCCCGCAAGGTCCATCCATGTTATTGCAAATGGAATGATTTTGTTCTGTTTTGCAGCTGAGTAGTATTCCATTGTATATATATACCACAACTTCTTTATCCATTCATCTGTTGGTGGGCACTTAGGTTGCTTCCATGTCTTGGCTATTGTAAATAATGCTGCAGTGAACATTGGGGTACATAGGACTTTTGGGATTGCTGACTTCAAGCTCTTTAGATAAATACCCAGTAGTGGGATGGCTGGATCATATGGTAGTTCTATTTTTAATTTTTTGAGGAATCTCCATACTGTTTTCCATAGTTTCTGCACCAGTTTGCATTCCCACCAGCAATGTATGAGGGTTCCTTTTTCTCCACAACCTCTCCAACATTTGTTACTATTAGTTTTAGATATTTTTGTCATTCTAATGGGTGTAAGGTGATATCTTAGTGTAGTTTTGATTTGCATTTCCCTGATGATCAGCAATGATGAGCATCTTTTCATGTGCCTATTGGCCATCCGTATATCTTCTTTGGAGAAATGTCTGTTCATGTCTCCAGCCCATTTTTTGATCGGGTTGTTTGATTTTTTGTTGTTGAGTTGTGAGAGT